GCAAGTGTTACCATGTTATTCCATACTTTTAACTCATCGTATGGTAAAAAATACCCAGCTGATGGTGAGAAATACCTAAACGATGGACAGACACACCTAACTGATATTTACAATCCGGGTATGGTAATTTTTATATCGAGTATGATTCTCACTTTCATCTAGATGCTTTAATCGACCATTATTTGGCTTTTTATCACCATATTTTTTTTTTACTATACCATTATGGTCAATCCCACTTCCACTTTTTTTTCAGTGTAGGGAGGTGATGGTAGATGTAAGTTTCTGTCTAAAATGCAACCTAAAAGTAAATATCAGCACAAAATATTTGTGAAAATGAACAGAACGGCAAAGTTAAGAGATGTTACGTTCATCATTAGTGTAAAAATGCGCCTTTAAAGAAAAATACAGGGTATCATGGGTGGCGGTAGCCACCTCCGGACAAAGTCTAAACTCGGCGACAGTGGAAGGCGTCCAAACGAAAAAGGTGGCAGCCAACCATAGACACACTTAACACTCTCATTCTGAAAATTGATTCGGTTTAAAGTCGACTACAGCCCAAACGACGGCACCGATTCCAACGATCTTGGTGTCTACTGACGTACCTAAATTGGGCCTACAAAGTGGGAGAATTTCATCAAGATCCATTGAGTTTTCAAAAAGTTATAAGCACTTAAAGACCCAAAACGACAAATATTTTTTGTAACATGGGCCGTTTAGTAGCGGGAAAGTTTGAAATTTAGAAACACACCCGACACGATCACCTTTCGCAACAGATTTCTTGCTTACCCGGCCGCAGATTCTAATGAAACCTTCAAAGGATCATGCTTGAAGATTGTATGAGGATTTCATTTCTACCACATTTAATAGGGTTTTAATGCTCGGATAATTCAGCATCTGCAAATAACTTTCAAAATTTTAGTTTTTAATTTTCGAAACACACCCGACATGACCACCTTTTTCAACAAATTTCTTGCTTACACGGCCGCAGATTCTAATGAAACTTACATAGGATCATGCTTGAGGATATAAGGATTTCATTTCTACCACATTTAATAGGGTTTCAATGCTCGGATAATTCAGCATCGTCAAATAATTTTCAAAATTTTAGCTATAATTGTTTGAATTTAGAAAAAAGCCGGTGGTGGTTCAATGCCGTTGGTCGATTCCGTTCAGTTCAGCCAGTCCAGCTCGTGTTTCGGGAACGAAATTCCCCGTTCTGGTTCTTGACCAACCTTTTACTAACTAGTTGTGAGTAGATTTAATTTAAATAAGAATTCAATTCTCTGTAGATGCTAACTAATATTTTTACAAACTTCAATTATTACATCGCACGTCTTCTGCCAGAGCCCGATACACTTTTTAATTAGTTTCTCTAAAAAAGTTCAAGTGATGTCTTTATTCAGAAGTGAGGTTATCAGTCCGTGTATCTATCTCACCTAGAAGCACAAATAAATGTAATTCAGGTAAATTACGTCAATAAAAGGACACCAAAGTTGTGCCAAACTATCAAAAGGACGCAGGATTTACACCACAGTTTGCATTCTCGTGAACAGCACGGATTTTGACACTGTCCGGATTTTGTGTCGAATTTGAAATTTACACTTAATTTTTTCATTTTATTTTTTAATCTCTTAAAATTTAAGTGAAGTTTCACAAGTTATGTTTCCTTAACAATAAGACTAAGGCAAACCAAATGCAAAACCAAAAATCTATATATTTAATATCCTAAGGCTTTTTTTGTCCTCCTTCAGTTTGGACAGTTTGTGCTAATTCAATCTTGGAAACTACTGGACCGATTTTCCTCGGATTTGTTTTAAATGAAAGCTTTTAGGCTGTAGATGTGCCAGCATCCCTTGATTTTTCGATTTGCACGACCGATGTTGCAAAATTTGCCTCGATTTGATACATCCTAAGGCTTTTTTTGCCGCTGAACAGTTTGTGCTAATTCGATCTTGGAAACTACTGGACCGATTTTCCTCGGATTTGTTTTGAACGAAAGCTCTTAGGCTGTAAATGTGCCAGCTATCCTCGGATTTTCGATTTGCGCGACCGCTGTTGCAAAATTTACCTCGCTTTGATAACGACATATTTGCGTTTTTGCTGCTGGACAGTTTGTGCTAATTCGATCTCGGAAACAACTACTAGGCAGTAGATCTGCCCGAACACCTTGGTTTTTTTATTTCCGCGGCCGATGTTGCAAAATTTACCTCGATTTGATATAATTGCGTAAAACGAAATAATTGCGTCTTTGCCGCTGGACGAGTCATATGGTTGGGGGACCTCCCACCCTCTGATTTTCTGTTTCTCTCTCCACGTAAACCCATCCCTACCTGCCGTGAACACGTGTCACCCTTCTACTTTGGCATGGGTCCTATGGCAGTATCACTCCCTTCCTTATGCCGTCTGACTTGGAACACCTGCTACACATTTCCTCCGTCCCATTGCTCATAATTAGTTCTCGGTTTGTCCAGGTTTCTTATTAGTGCGTCTAGAGTTTTGCTTTCTTGATTTTGTCTTTAGTTTTTTTTTTTACATGAAAATTACTGAATATTGATGTGTATTTTTCAGAAGATAATTTTCTTTTTTACGGCAGCACAGAATTTATTAATAATTAACTTATTTACAGCTCATGTGTTCTTCCAAGAGAATCGGTAATTAATGTTCACCCTTTCGCATCGTTAAATCTTCACGAAGTGTTTTGCTTTCCTTTCCAGGAGTGTTCTTTATTTTTCATGGACGTTTCTTTTTCTAGAAGTAGGTGGTTCATTATTATTTTCTTATTATTTGTTTTTGAATAAATCATTTTGACTCCATGAAGTCCTCTAATTACTCGTAGTAGCAAAATTTGGTTTGCTTCGCGAGCCAACATTCACTCGCGGAGCGAGTGACTGGGGATCCAGGGGGCGAAGCCACCGCCTTGCGGGCTGAAGCAGCTACCTACTTGTAATTAAAGATGTAAAAAAAAGATGAAATGATGAAAAATCAATAATCAACTTATAAAAAATTGAAAATAAACATTAAAACAATTTGAAAACAAACAATTAAAACTTCATTGCAGGGGGGTTAAGATATTTTTATTCAAAATTTTTGAATAAAATCTGAAAAAAATTGATCGAGGTAATTTTAACGTGATTTTGTCGCATTCTTTTCATGTAACTTTTAAGTGTAAATTATGTAAAAAAAATGTTTTCGATCGGAGAGCGTTGAAGAAATTATTATATATTTATACGAATTTTCAACGAACAAAAAAATGAGCGGGATAATTTTTATGTGTTTTTCCCACGTTCTTTTTGCGTAATGATAAACATTATGTTAAAAAAAAAAGTCTCAAGTTGTGGCCTGTAAAAAATTCATTTGCATGTAAAATTTATATAAAAAATGTTTAGTCTCACGAAATCACATCTTTTTTCTTCTTATTTTTTGATATGAATTTGAAGTGAAATTCATGTGAAACTTTATATCCCAAGATTATTTTTTTTTCTGTGTGATTTATGTTATTTTTTATGTATTTTTTACGTTAGTAAATGTTTTTGTAATTTCCAATATTTTTTTAACTTAATTTTACCAGGCGTGAGAAAAAAATTGATAAAAAAAAGATGTACAATTGATCCCATGGTTAACGCCCAAAGGACATTTTTACGTAAAAAAGACTGAAATGTATATGAATTTACGTTTTTTTTTTTTAACATGAAAGCGTTCTAAGGGACGTCAACCATGGGATACATATTACATCTTTTGAATCAGTACCTACGGCTTCTTCAGTAAAACAAAGTGTTAAAATGTCTCTCTTTCTTGTGGGAGAAAAAAATTTTTACTAGGAATGGTATCAACCTAATATGGTATCTAGTAATATGAAATCAGTTACGATGGGAGCCGCTCAAAAGTTACACATTAAAGCCCCTTTTAAATGAGGGATTCTCTTAATCAAAATCTCAACAAATTTAAGTAGGCATCGCACAGAATTTTTGGTATAAAATCCATACTCCCGTGCCGATAAACCCATGAAACTGGTGTGAAGGGCCGATTTTTGTGTAATAGCAAGCAGCACTGGATACCCACCTTTGTATTGCACCATCCTTAAACTCCTTCTTTCTTTAGCAAGTGACGTAATCTTTGGACGGCCGTAGAATTACAAATTATCAGCATTATTCGAGATTATAAAACCATAAAATCATGCATTTACCTACTGTAGAAAAAAAAATTGAATGGAATAGAGATTAAAATAATTTAAATATCTCTATTGACGTAGTGGCCCTGAAGTCTAGATGCCATGATGAAGTGGCCTAGTAGGCCTTGTCAAACATGCCAACCAGATCGTCCTGTTAAAATGCATACGTAGTCTCATTGGAATAAGTTTAAACTTGTAATTGATGTCTATTGAATTTTTGTTTGGATCAAATGATGTTCAACAGATGTCAGTTTATTCTGAACCGATATTAATTGAGCCTCAAGTGATAAGTAGCAAATTTCAACTGTTTCCTTTTGAGGCTCAACATATATCTATTGAGTATCATCTGGTATCAGTTCAACCTTTACTGGTATCAACTGACACTCATCAAATATCTGTAGACTTTCAACTGGTATCAGTTGGTATTAGTTCAACCTCTCCTAGTACCAACTGCAACTCATCAGATATCCGTCGACTTCCAACTGGTATCAGTTGGTGACAGTCGATATCAGTTAAAATCAGTTAATATCAGCTCATTTTCTCTACTGAGAATAAAATCGAAAAACTATGAACTGATTAGGATTCAGCGTAAAAATGTGGTCACAGTGAATGTTCAAAATGCTGTGCAAAGCGGTTGTCTCTGCGAAAAAAATTGCGATCTCAGAATTATGAAATCAGATTCGAATACACCCTCTTACTGACTCTGAATGTTTGTTCAATTTTAACGTTAAATTATTTTGATATTGAGAATTGCTAGAGAGTAGAAGTTAAATGCGAATGAAAGTCGTAAGGTAAATTTTTAATGTATGTATACAAAATTCTAATTTTGAAGGTCGAAAAGTGGTTGAACAATATGACTGATGTAATGCGAAAAACTGGGAGGCACTATATTTCAGAAGCAGTCCTGACTTATGACGAAAAGCCGAGAGAACAGTGGATTTTTGACTATCCAGCTCAAAGTGCACTGTGTGGCACGCAAATCTGGTGGACAACAGAAGTAGACTTAGCGTTTGCACGACTGGAAGAAGGATATGAAAATGCCTTGAAAGATTATAACAAAAAACAGGTTTGCTATTTACATGTTGTAAGATTAACATGCATGACCACTAGTTGGTATCTCATTTTCTGAGTACTCCTTGGTCTCATTTTTTTGCCTCTGCTCTCATACTTTAATTTTGTATTTCCAATCACACGGCGAAAACTGCTTCATCATGAACCTTAGCGATTTTTTAAGAAAATCTAGATTTCTACTAGATTCTTTTAGATTTGTCTCTAGATTTATAATTTTTTAGATATTTACATCCTCTCTTCTTTTCCTCTGTATCGATAGATAACCCAACTGAACATTTTAATCTCATTACTATTGGGCGATCTATCAGGAGGTGATCGGCAGAAAATAATGACAATTTGTACCATTGACGTCCATGCTAGAGATGTAATCTGCAAGCTGATAAACTCCCGGGTTGAATCGAGTACTGCATTTCAGTGGCAATCACAGCTACGGCACAGGTATCAAACCAGAAATTTTACAAGTTATCTTCACCTTTTTAACCTTAGACATATGAGGTGGGACTCAGACTCAGAGCAAATCCAATAGCAATTCTTGAAAGTTGGCAAGGAACACTATTTACCAACTAACCCTTCACCCCTTATAACTTAAACTCATTAAAAATATCGATTTTATGCGAGGCAAGTTTTAAGGTGTAAGGGAGAGCGGATAGAAACATAACTAGCGCGGGTGCAACTACACAGTTTTTATTATTCAACAGCAATCGAAAAGACGAAGCATATTAAGAAAAAAAACACGCTCGTACTTTGGATCCAGCGAAAAAAAACCAAAAAAGAGAGAAAATAATAGAAAATAAAAATCCAGTGGTCTCCGACGACCTTGCTCCCACCGCGCTCCCAGCTCCAGCCCCCTCTTTCCTCCTTCGCTCTCCTGACGCCGCTCCCCCCTCCTGTGATCAGCCGAGAAATCCGCTTCTCTGATCTTCCATGGGAATTTCTGCAATGATGCCGCAAAGCAAATCCGGAGTCCCCCCAGCCAACAGAGCAGCTTTCCAATTGAACCAAGGAGAGGTAAGCAAAATCAGGGAGCCGGCCGCTGTACTCAACAGCAAGCTGTGTCATTAAAATTCGATTGTTCTACATACATTTAATGGAAGAAAAAGTGTTTTCAACTTCAAGAATTGTCACTGCACAAACCTGACTTTGTTCGCCCTGGACGTCGGTTGTGAAGTATAGACTTCCCCTTTATAGGGAATCTTAAGTGACTTCATATGATGCGCTATCTCAAATTTCAACGTAAACCTAAAGCTTACCCAAAAAATTTTACGACTTTGGCGTATTTTTTTCGCGTCATTTTTCAAGTGATTTTTTCTTTGCGTGCCTTTCACGCCGTAGAAGTCTCTTAGCATTATTGACACCAACGAACTGCAGATACCTATGAATTCTCGTTTTTTACCTGTTGAACCTCTGCTTAGCAGTAAAATTTTTCATCAAAGCATTAAACATGGGTAGGAATATGAAAAAATCTCTTACCTGTAAAAGTGGCTATCAGAACTAGACCTTTTACTACCCAAGTAGCATGGGGTTCCATTTTCTGTATAGCACTAATTTAGAAATTGTCTATTTTCTAGACAGAAAAATAAAATAGAAGGAAAATGAAAAGAAAATAGACGTAAGAAAATCATTGGAAAACTTCTATTTTCCGTCTATGTTCCGGACACTTAATACAAGGAAAACAGACAATTTTACTGTCTACATTCTGTGTTTTTTCTACCTGTTTTCTGAATTTAAAAAAAAAATGAAGAAATAGATAAAGAAAAAATCCAATTTTTCTCTATTTTCCATCAGGTTTTTGGATATTTTTTCTGAAGGAAATAACCCTATCAATTTTTTTATATGGAAAATAGATCCATTTTGTAGAAAGGAAATAGACCTTTTTTCTTTGGTAAATAGTGACACTCACTTTAAATTTTCTGTCTACTTTCCACAATGCTAGCCACTTTTTCTTTATTTTCTAATTTTTTTTTCACGGAATATTTTCATTTTGCTTCTTGGGAAGCTTTACAAGAGGGTCAAACGCGGTAAAATTTGCAGTGACAGCTCCGTAAGTTTGGCAAGCCCTATCCCAACTGGGTCGGAAGAAAATACTTATTGAAAAGGCGCACTTTAAAACGAGTCAATGGTAGAGGTCCGACATAGGCGATTTCGGCCAATCCCATGTCTCGCAGCTTAAAAGTGATCCTTCAGGGTTATAATTAGAGGACCTGGTACTATTTTGGGGCAAATCATTTCCTTTGGCCATGCCACGGCCCCCCAAACATGGGTATCACCCGATTTTCAATTTCAGCTAAGTTATCTATGATTCTCCCTACCGCATATCCTATTTATCACAACAACCTCCAATGTAAATTTCAATCATTTAATGCTAATGTACAGAGTCTGGAGAACATTTTCCACCACTAAGCGTATCATTTATATTATTTTTTAAGGTCATAACGCTCATTCATACGTACCCATCTCAAAAATCGTAAAAAAAGGATATAAATAGTTGTGCCAAGGAGTGCCAAGCTATCCTTTGTATGGGGACATTCGTAGGACCCTTGAGAATGATCATTTTCAAAAATCAGCTGCCACTATCTGCCGCTTTGACTATGATGCCACTTTATCTGTTGAATTTCGCAGTCGCGCGCTTACCTTCCCGCACAAGTACGTCATCGCTGCTTACGGTTAGACGGCCTTATCTGCAATTTCAACGGTTGATTGCTATTTTATGGAGCTTGGAGAATATTTTCCACGTTTTTAAGACCCCTCTTCCCCTTCTAAATGTGTTTGATGGCATTCACCTCAAAAATACCAAAATAAAAATAATAATTAAAGTAGTGATATAGTTAGTATTACCAATATATTTCAAGATATTTTTTGTACAGGAACATTTGCAGGACTCCTGAGAATAATAATTCACCACGTACAGTGTTCCAACCAACTGCCGTTTTGTGTGTGACGTCACTATTTCTAAATGCCGCAATTGTGCGCAACCCCTACCTCTCGAGAATCCGTAGCAGCGTCGTCTTTTCTGCTAGCTGTTATGATCAGATGACCTAGTGTGTACAAATAGCGATTCTAACATTTGATTCATATTTTACTGAGCCTGTAGAAGATAATTCTTTTTTTTCTTCTTAATTTTTTAGCTCATAATGTCCGTTTAGAGGCACCTATCACAAAAATATCATAAAGAGTTTAAGGCGAACTTACATTAAAAACATAAACCTTTTCACCATTAAGGGACATTTGCAGGACCCTTTAGAATAACACATTATACTAAACTTAGCTGCCATCATCTGCTACTATGGCTGTGAAATCACCTTATCGGTTATACACTGCAGCCACGCGCGACTCTCATCCGCGACTTAAGTGTGCGCGCGGGATTCATACGAATTTTTGGCGCGTATACGTAGTATACCGCCTTTGCGATCGTTTCGACCCCCCACTCGATACAATAACCGAGTCCCTTAGTTCCTTACCGAAAAGTGACTACCGCGAACTTCTGAGATTTTCCAAAGCGTGTAAAAAGTTTATTTATCCGTCAATAATTGTGATTTAAAGTTGTTTCTCATTCTGGGGCCCTCTAGTTTATGTGCAGTGAATACCAAGAGTCTACGTTACTTGGTTTTTTTTAAAAAAACCTTAGAATGGGGCGCGCTGATTTAAAATATGCATATATAAGCAGAAGCAAGCGAACTGATTCGAGGATGGCTGATCAGGTCGGCACTCGTTGAATGAGAATTTCACTTCTTCGTTTTGTTTAAAACGTTGCTTTGACAGATCTCCACAACCCTGTTATGATTTTCAAAATTTGGTACCCCTTGCTCTGATAGCCGGGGCCAGCAGGATAGTGGTAAGTGCAATCTGTGATGAGCCTCGAGACTCATTAGACCATGTGCTAACCGTGGCCCATACAGAAATTCACTCCCCTATCAGGCCAAAACAGTGCACAGGCAGGCACAAAACCCAGGTAGTGTCCCGGTCCTGGCTCGGTTCGCCGCGTCGCTTCCCAGCTGAAGAACAAAAGGCGACCCTCGCGGTCCTCGTCACAGTCAGACCTAATTACTTTCACTCGATTACCCATTTCACCGTCACGCTGGGATCCATCAAATTTTCGAAAAAATTGTTTCGCGAGTACTTAGCAATTTTTTCCTTACTCTCCGTTCAAAGACGAATTGAAAGAGGTCTCATTCATAAAAATCGGCCGAATAGAAGAGAAGTTACAGTATTCGAAATCCGAAGAAATCAACGAAACTTCTCCAAACAAAAAATAAAATGAAGGGGAAAAAAGAAATGTATAAATTACAATTAAATATAATTGACCTCAGAATTTGGCAAGCAATTCAACTATATAACGGAGAAAAAATTGGGAGAAATTACAAAAAATTCGCCTCTTGCAAGGGGCTTCCTTGTAAGAATTTTGATCTGAAGGCAAGGATTGAATACCAGCGCAATACACCATACAATACATGGTGTGCCTGAACGAACATTTTTTTTTGTGTCAAAATCGAAAATTCTTTATATTTTTTAACTACAGTGTCTCTTGAGTCGTTTAAGCCAAAAAAAAATTCCGTCAAGATTCTGGAAAGTAAAGGCGCTTTAAAAGTATTCTGGGGCTATGTATCCTAACTGTGTCCACACATGGTTTCTGTTCAGCATATCCATGTGTAAGTATTTTTACACGTAGAATCTAATTTTCACGTCAGGGAGTCGACACATCTCGATTTTTTCGATTTTATACGGAAAATTGATGGGTTTTTGGGATTGAAATTATTATTGTTTCATGAAAAATAAATGCACCCAAAATGACTATCGCATATTGATTTTTATATATTTGCACCCACGAAATTGGTTGGTAAATTCAACGAGTGAAGGCATCGACCTGGTATATCAAGTTTCTGCAATTTTTTACGGCAAATCGGTAGATTTTCGGGATGTAGATTGCTTACTTTCAATTCATGAATGAATTAAGCATGGACATGGTTGAACTTCTTTGCATGGAAATACGTTTAAAATAACAAAATCAAGACATATTTAATGCAATGGGCCTGTTGCATGCAAGAGATACAGCCGCGCGAATAGACTTTTTAGAGGTTAAATGATACGAAAATTACGATGGTCACATTAAAAAAGTCTGAAATACACTCCTTACTGCGCAATTTGCGTTGTTAGGAACGCGCTTTTTCAAATTTCCCGCGTCTGGGGGCAGTTTTCTAATCACCGGAAACTAGCAAACGGCGGGCTCGAAGATTTCCGGAAGATGCCGAGTCGTTGTTGTTGTTGTTATTTTTTCCTTCAGTTTGTTTACAAACCCAACGTGATCTCTTATAGTGGTCCATATACGCTTTATGCGGTAACCAAATCGATCAACTTTTAAATATCCAACGCAATCCTTCTACATTTTCTTTCACGATATCACGAGCTCCGATTTTTAGGTTATGTTGTCAGTTTTAGTTGACCGGAAATAGCCGCGAGTTGCCGTTAATTGTTTCGTAAGAAAACTGCCCCCAGACGCGGGAAATTTGAAAAAACACGTTCTTAACAACGCAAATTGCACAGTTAGGAGTGTATTTCAGACTTTTTTAATGTGACCATCGTAATTTTCGTGTCATTTAACCTCTAATAAGTCTATTCGCATGGCTGTATCTCTTGCATGCAACAGGCCCATTGCATTTATATCGAGTCAATTTCTTTTCAATAATATATCGGGATCTATAATAGGTAGGTACCGGTGATTTGGATATTTTAGCCCCAAAAAGACCTTTAAATCGACTGTATCTTTCAGGAGTTCGACAGAATTTTTCCTTTCTTCGCTTAAATTATTCCGTAGCACTTTTCTTTAAGAATCTGATAAGATATTGCTGAAGGCAGATCAAAAAACTTAAACTCGTTCGAATGGCTTTCTACATTCACAATACAAGGTCTCGTCAAAGTGCGTCGTTGAAGAGTTGGATCGTATGAATTCTCTTGTTGTGCTACTTGCCTATTTTGAAATCTCTATAAATGAAAACTAAAGGGGTTGATATGTGTGAGTGAATGACGCGCCTTATCAACACATTGTGTTGGAGTTCACTGCTTGTTTATCTCTAATTACGATCGGGCAGCATGCTGACACTGATTAACTTTGATAATGACAAAAAATTTCCGGGAAAGATTAATGAAAAATCAACATTACTAATGTTAACAGCTCGATTTAGGTGTATAACTTACTAGGGGGCTACGCCCCCTGGCCGCTACGCGGCCCAACCCCCTGAAGGCGCTCCGCGCCATCAATAGGCCGCTTCGCGGCCCTATTTTTACCCTCCTGTCAGTGTTAGTTTTATTTTTTTCCTAAAAATTTACGATATGGGGCATACTTTAATTTTAAACTTTACTTAAAATTACCTTAAAATTAAAAGGACTCGTTTTGGAATGACTGCTTGATGAAATATTGCAGTAAAACAATGAACTATGATAGTCAGGTTATAGTTAAGATATCGGGGGTCAGGGATCGAACCCACACCGAGTTCAAAGTGGACGTAATCGATGTCCTAGACGACTCGGCCACGGCTCCACGTGAGAACGGCCGTGCGAATCTTGTGTGGATAAGTGTAGAGCTGATGCGCAGGCTACCCAGCTACTGCGCAACCTCCTCGACCATTGCGCATCCTCCCGCGCATAGCGGTAGCAGTACCGGAGCATTCTGTAAACTCACTCACTTTTATAACGTGATTTTAAAAAAAACCTGGGTCCTTTTTCCAAAATCTGATTGCAGCGGGCTCATCTAGGGCCTATTACCTGTCAATTTACGCAAAAATAATGGAAATCGGCCCGGTAGAACGCTCAAACGAACTATGACAAAAAGTATAAATTTACATTGTTTAAATGGGAGAATTCGCAACTTTACCACGTAATATAAAAAAACCTGGGCCATATTTTGAAAATCTGAAAAGAGTTGGCTTATCTAGAGGCAATTGCCCGTCGATAGCCGCAAAAATCATGAAAATCGGCCCGGTAGAACGCTGGAACTAAGCGTCACCAGTTTCGCAAAATTAGGAGGTCTCGGAGCTTATAGTATAGATACTTATCCAACGAAAGGAGACCATTATCCATTCCCGACGAAAGGTCCCTTTGCCCCCCCCCCACTCCCTATATGTTTTCAAATTCTAGAGGTTAAAATTAACTGATAAATTCTAGAGGTCTAAATTAAAACTGCACAAATTGCTGTTTTTCACCAATAAGAGAGATGGCTCTGTTATTATCGTACCTAATCACCGAAAGTGATGAGACACATTTGTTGATGAAAGTGAACATTTAGCTAATATTTAATGACAGTAATAGTTCTCACAAAATACGTATAAATATGGTTTTTTGTTGGTCTAAATGTAAAAATACTATAAAAAATGAAATCTACGACGAAAATTACATAAGGTTCGTGAGTTCGGCGAACATTTGGTGGAGAAAACCCTGATAATTACGGAACGTTCGATGCGCGGCGTGCTATGTCCAACCTTTCCCATTGACTCGTTCCATGGTGAGGCGTAGGTATATTCATTCGTAAATCATCATTAAATTCGCAAAAAGTGAATTGATTATGTAATACATCGATTATAATCTATATTCTATATATTTTTCCTCTTTGGGTAAAAAAACGGACTTTGCTCCTGATTAGGTGGGACAAGGCACAGGCAGACTGTTTTGCAAATATATGTGATGCTGAATTTCGCTATGACTACGAATATCTTGGAAACACCCCTCGACTTGTCACTACTCCACTTACTGATCGTTGTTACATCACTTTGAGCCAGGTATTCTTCCCGAGTTTAATTATTGGAAATGTAATCCTCTAGTTTAGTAAGTTTGCTACGTATTTTCAGTGCCTATTTGTGCAAGAGAATATTTTTAGGGGATTGTATTTGAATCACATATTACAGAAAGGGCACTATTGCAGAAATGTTAATTGTTCAGAAAATGCAAAAAACTGATTTGATTAAACTATAAGCTTTTGGAAAAAAAATTTTTGTGGTTTTCTTTTGTCCCCCAAGTAGACTAACAATTTCCATAAAACATTTTTAGATGATACTCTTTCTGGGTTGTAAATAATGACATTTGATGAGAGAGCAATAATGCCTTTTCTGTAATACATGGGGGAAGGAGCCATAAAGAGTGATAGGATGAAGCCAGAAAATTTTTTCAGCCCTTGTTTTTCATCTCAAATGTATGGCAATGATGCTTGTCTATAGCGAAAGTTGGAAATTGTATATCTCCATTGCAACGTTTCAAAATTTCTGCTCTCTTTTTTTTATTCTTTTAAAGAGAACTAATAGAGATTTTCTCATGAAATTTTCAGAAAACAATCTGAAAGGTGTGAAGAAAATTTACACAAAATTTCAATAGAGAATACTTAAGAACCAAAAAAAAGAAGACGACGTAAAATTGGCAATGTTGCAATTGATGGTATGCGATTCCGAACTTTCGCCATGTGGTTCGCCCACAACTATGTACATTTTAAAAATATTTCTGGCTTATTTCAAGTCAAGAACTTAAAAAAAAAAAAAAAAAAAAAAAAAAAAAAAATGTATCCTTCTTATTGAAGTTCAATAGCGTAGTAATCTTTGGATTCAAAATTTCAGGTCAATTACCTACTTCCCCATCCAACCTGTTAAGGGCTCCTCTCACTTCCTACACTCAAGGTTCAATTCTCACTCCTTTCATTTTCAGCGTGAGTGAAGTGTGTAGCGTGATCACTGTCGTTTCGAAACGCAAAACTAACCTGTCAATCGTATCAAAACAAAACAAACGACGAGTTGCCACTGCCTATGCGTGCGCACCCAGTGGACATGTTCTGCAGAAACGGCACTATATTGCTGCAACAGTACTTTTTCTGCTCTTCGTGAGGAACTTAACCCCAAAAACACATAAAAAATGCGAATATAGTGCCCTGTCTGCACTAAAGGATGTGTCTATATACACTAATGCGAAAACCGCAAAAAACTCAATTTCGAAAAAAATGTCGATTGTGCCCTTTCTGTAATAGCTGATTCATTTATAGATTGTGACAGAAAATTCAACGTTAAAAAAATTTGTGGCGGGCTTCTTGGTGAATCTAGTGGGGATTCCAACAACTCAGCAACACTGTTATTACTTCATTTAAATCCATTGAAAATATCGACTCTGGATGAAACACGCTGTCTCACTTAGAATCGACTGTTTGCAGCACTCTGCTGCCAGATTTCGAAGTCTCGTGGTGTTGCATTGTCACCATTATCATAGGTCCGCAATATTTTTAATCACTCGAAATAAATTGTGAAGTTACCGAAAAGCGACGTTAAAACACTTATCTCATACCTTGTTTTGTCACGAGAATGTATACTAAAAAGAATGTCGAGGATATCATTGGAAAACTAGGAGCCTTTAGCTGCATGAAGCAAGTCAAAAGGTTTATCCGGTTCAGAAATAAAAAAGATGGGCTTTTCTTGATACATAATTTAGTTCCGTTGCACCAAGAACGAGCAAACCCTCATTCATCCAAGACATAAGATATTTTTATCCAAGAACGTCAGACGAACAAAAATATAAATTAATCATGCAAAATATCGCATTTTGACGTCTTATCAGGCTGCCTCAAACTATCAATAACCGGCCTGCTGCAATGAAACTTTTTGATAACTTTCATCATTATGATTCTCCATCTGCCAATTCCGGTCACTTAGAGTCCCCATGGACCGATTGATTTTAAACGGGCAATAGAGTGAAAGGGAAAGTGCAATTTTAATTACTTATGGGTTTACTTTCAATGGTAAAATAAACCAGTTGTTGGGTATTTAACTTCAATTTTAAGTCATTTTAGTAATATTTTTCTTGTTAGCATAAGTCATCGAATGTTGTGTCGTTGCCCCCTCTTTTTCTCGTCGCACTCTTTCTAAAAGGAATGAATGGGCCTTTCTCTTTCTCTTTCAACTGAAATGAATAGCCTTCTGCACGCTTCCCCTTGCATGAATCACATGTCGCTATCCTTCTCGCTCCTCTCTCGCGTATGTATGTGTCTATCTCTCCCTAATCTTCAACCCTCCGCTCTGTATTTCTTCTCGCTCTCACTACCTCATCCAACGTTGCTCTTTCTCTCTCTCTCTCTCTCTTCACCACCCCCGCTTGTTTTGAGGACTCCACTGCGCATGCGCGGCCCGAGATGCGGTGCATCCCTTGGAGTAAAATTAGTTGAGAGAGCCGCGTGAGTCCTCGTCAGCTCTTCGCTCTGAATCAACCTCACGCTCTTGCGACTCCGTCAAATGCGGAAAACTTTCCCGTGACGTATATCTCTTGAGACAACTTGTATTCTTCAAAATAAACTTCAACTTCACCTGCATATCGATTGGTTCACTATCATTTTATCAAGTACGTCTCACCTGGGAGGACCTCAGCACAGGAGGCTTCGTAATACGACTTGTCATGTTGACTTCTGGGCTGTCTCCCCTGAATTTTACTCTCTTATACGATACGAGTGGCAGTTCGACACGATCTTCGTGTTGACACTCGTGCTGTTGAGAAATCTACTTAGATTTTTACTAAGTCGGTCCCTCGGTAACCATCGAGAATTCGGAGACGAATTCTTCATTTGATCCCTCGGGCCGGATCAATAGACCAGCAACTTTGGATGAGTAACGGCGTAATTTTACTTTAATTGCAAAATCAAGGTGGTTTTTCTAAAATCTAAACTTGGATTTTAGATTGATATTTATCGTACCGAATCGTGCTTTTCTAAAATTTAAACTTGGATTTCAGAATTGCTTTTTAACACACCTAACCATGATTTTCTAAAATGTAAACTTGGATTTTAGATTTGCTTGTTAACATACCTAATCATGGCCAAAAATGTGAAAACCCTACGATGGCAACGGGGTAAGGTGCAGGCATCAATCACAACCTTCACCAAAAAACTTGATAATTGGCGAGATGATGTAGAAAATCGGGGCCCAGATCTCTTACAGCAAAATTTGGTATCTTTACAAAAAAGATTCGAATCATTTGACGCCATTCAAGATCAGCTCGAGGAGTTGGATTCACAAGAATTCAAACAAGGAGAATTGATTCAAGATTCTTTCGACGAAGTTGTCGCGCGAGCAACGAGATACCTCCGCGAAGCTCTTCATCAAAGGGAAGTAGGATCAGTCATTTCAAATCACTCATTGCCTCACTCGTCAGTTGGTGGCTCGGGACAATTTGGCTCACGGTCCTCTACTACAGCATTTGGCTTCCAAAGCTTAATTTGCTCAAATTCAAAGGCGAAATTTCGACTTGGCAAAATTTCTATAATTTGTTCATTTGTTCAAGACGGTCATCGACAGATCTTTGAAGAAGAATGTACACCTCGGTGAAGGACTGTGCTTGCGACCGTACCGTAAAGGTCACGGACTTTACTTCAGACCTTACCGAAAGAATTTAAACTGATCCGTGAGCTACCGCGCCGAGCGATGACGGATGTTGAGTTGAGGATCGCTGCGACGGAACAATTACGAATCCCGCATTTCCGTGGTGTGTTCATGATCGATGAATTGGCGAGCAAGAAACCCAAACGTCCCGAGTGTGGTATCATCAATCTCGACCGAAGCGATGTACCCGGTACACATTGGACAGCGTACCGGATTTCAAAGAGCGGTAACGCATTGTACTACGACAGCTTCGGTGATCCACCACCACCCGTTGAAATTACGCGATACATTTTACGCTCACTTGGTAGCTTAACGTCGACGACAACAATAGGATACAATTATGATAGCGAACAAAATTTCAACTCGAGCGTCTGCGGGAAACGATGTTTAGAATGGCTCGTACAAACCAGGAATATATAGTATTCAAAACCCGAATATGGACACACAGAAAAGATGTCACACGTTCATGTTGACGGGGAGGAGCAACGTTCTCGAGTTTGCACTGCCTAGACCTTTCGAGTTGTTCGGACCTTGTGAGATCGGTCTGACGGGTTTTGTAACTTATTATTCCATCCCAAACATCGACATAACGAACAGACTGCTTTTCTACTCCGAGAGCCCTGAAGAGAATTACTCGGCAATTTCGTTCCCGATCGGAGCCTACAAGATCGAGGGTATACAAGAATACTTGCAGGGAGAACTTGGCGGAGCGGAAGCTATCAAACTCAAAGCGAACAACGCTACGCTTAAAGTAAGCATCAAATCCAAGTACTGGATCGATTTCCGCAGACCCGGCACTTTACGTAAGGTGCTCGGATTCGGAAAGTGTCTCTTGGCACCGGCCGAATTTCACGAAGCTGACTATTGCGTCAACATCTCGCCCGTAAACATGATATGCATCAAATGCAGCATCGCTCGCCTGTATCTGTGCATTTAGCCACGGCTCATTTAGCCACGCGGCTAACTGCAACAATTTTTGTTGCAGATTGCCACAAACTCTGAGTGCTGTGTGGCTAAATGAAACACGAAAAATTAGTGTGGCTAAATGCAACAAAAATTGTTGCAGTTAGCCACAGTCTTTGGAATGGCCTACCAAATTCAGCGAAAAAAACTGTTATTTATCCTTTCATTCTTATTTTACTGCAGTGCAAGTGATTTAATTGAAGATCTGGAATAGATTAAAAGTATAAACAACCATTTATATTGAAAACAATTTTTATTTTAATAATTTTACCATCCTCCACTAGTGACCAATGCAATACTGATTCTACTTTACGCTGAAATACACGAAAATCTACTAATAGGAAAGTATCCGGAGGAATTATTGACCACATGCATGTACGTCTTTTTCCTTAGATTAGGTCATTAGGTAAGGTAAG